CGCTGCGAAGGTTCGTTAAGCGAAGGGTTGGAGGAAGTAGGGGTAGGGGCAGGGGGGTTTGCCGGAAAAGGCATCTGAACAACGTTCTGACCTTTGTAACAATGCCACATGTTGCCTGCTAAATGTGCGAGTTTGTTTCTGTGTGCGCGCGAGTCTTCGTTGTGCCCCCTTTTTCTCTCTGGCCATTGAAATTAATTTTATCGCCTGCATGCAACAGGTGCGTGTGCGTACAGGTGTGTGTGTGTGTGTGTGTGTGTGAATGTATGCGTGGCCATGAAAACAAACGACACACGCCCCTCAACAACAGCAATAGTTCAGGCAGAAGAACATTGAACTAAGTTGTTCGCAGCACACGCAACAGCAGAGTCCTGTGCGGAGCGAGAGAATCCCTTGAGCTAAGGATGTTCAATATATATACACATACGTATCTCGTTGACATGGTAAGGCTAGCATATTAAGAAAATAACATGCACTCTCAGTTAATTGAAGTTGTTTTAAACAAAGGCCCAACTCTAAAGTGCTGCGCCAATCATGAGTGAAAAGCCTGGCAGCTATTTATCGTAAAATAATTGTAAATCAAAGCATGTTATACATGCTTCTTTTATATGTGCTAGACATTTAACAGATAGTCCCTGTTCGGGCGCCATTTGCAAGTCTGTTAAATCTTAACAGCATGCTTCACGAAACTGTACTTTGAAAGGCTTTAAGCTTGCGTATTTCCTTTATATACTACTACTTAAATGCTACTCAAGCCAAGTTTCCCTTTAGCGTTCGAAGCTTTTCTAAATCTATTAGTCAAGCTGTTCTATTTCAGAAAAGAAAGGTCGTTGCTCGGGCGTCAATGCAAAAAGTCTGTTAAATATTAACAGCTTGCACTTATGTTAACCAAACTGTACTCTAAAAAACTGTAAAGCTCTGTATAACATGCATATGCACCTATATATTGTTTAAGCAAAGTTTTCCTATAGCAATCATATTTCTTCTAATGCTACTAATATTAATAGATACTGTCGCCACTAAGCAAAAATATTGTCCCCGCTCGAGCGCCAACGTCAGGAGTTAGCTTCTATGCAAAGCATGTCTGGCTCTTAAGAGCTTGACACCATAGCCTTAGTCTAGCTTTTCATTTTCGTTTGACTTGTTGTGCCTTGTTTCTCCATTTAGTAGAAGGACAGCAGATGACAGGTGTCGCAGGCTCAGCTCATGCCTCACGGAAAACACGCTGTTTGTCTGCAGCACGTCATTTGGCATGAGAAGACCACACGATATCGTGCGGCACTTATCGGCTTTTGTCAGGTTTATCTCAATGATAAAAAAAAATCCCCCACGCACTTTGTTGCGTGTGTGTGTGTGTATCAGTGTGTGTTGCTGATAGCGTTGAGTTGCTGGGAACCAGGCCCAGCTGTCAGCATATGCATGAGTGTGCATCGATGTGGATGTGGTGGCAGCTGCCGCTTCAATGGGCTGTTGCCCCCCCCCCCCCCCCCCTCTCCCTCACCCCTCTGTTAGGTGCGCTGATTAACCAATATGTGGCCAAATATTTGAGTTGGCATCAAATTTATGTTAATAGACCGCCACAATTTTTGTGTCTGTTGTTGAGTTTTGTTTTAGATAAAAATTGTGCCCAAAAAAATAAAGTTTCATAACAAGCCGAAAACGCACCATGTGGCATCATAAAAGCCCCAATTGTGTGCCAAAGGCAAGGCCGAAAACCTCCCAACCTCCCCAACACACACACACACACACACACACACACACACGTACACACACACGTACACACACGTGTACACACATGCAGCGTCTGTCGAGGCCAATCAAGGCTAGTCAGCGGACATTGTCGGGCAATTAGAGGCGGGCTCAGGCCCGCCCCCTTTATCTAGCTGGCGACCCTGCTGTCGTTGCTGGGCCTGTGGCATGATTCGAATGCAAACAAGACTTCATCTGCAACAGCTTTATGCACGAGCGAGTGGCTTCAGCTGCTGGCCCAGGTTCCGAGCTTCATAGTATCCCTTTTGCTGGCGATGCATCGCTGGTTTCTCGTTTATGTGGATTTTCGGTACGTGGCAAATCAAGCGTGAAGTCACAACAATGACAACGCCTCGAGAATATATACCTTTTTCGCCTGCTTGCCCTTATCGTGCCGGCCCCAAGTCTTGGGACAAGTTTAAAGGGTTCACTTTGTATTGTATTAAGTATACGCAGCGTGGGCCAGGCATGAACTTTTTCTGCATTATTTACCCACTTGGCCTTTGTGTATTGTGTGTGCCTGTGTGTGTATGTTCGCTATGTGTTCCGAGCTGCTGCTTATGCTGAGCAGCTTCACAGTGGCTTCTTGGCCGCCTCCAAGTGCTGCCAGCTGGCGGAAAGTCAGCGCAAATAAACGCGCTCTTTTAATAATTAACGTTTTAATCATTCAAAAAAGTTTATTACTACAAAACGTTGCAAGAAACAGAAAACAAAAAAGCAGAAGAAACAAAGGCAGCAAAAGCAGCCAGGTCCTTGACTTTGCGTTGTGTCCCCAAGAAGTTCAGCCAAAGGTGGATGGCAACATCTTCAAGGAGTCTGTGTATTACAGGTGGAAGGGGCCCATAATGTATATATATATATATATATATTCCAAATCGAGGCAAGGTCGATCTAGACAAAATCGATAAGTCTCAGCTTTCACAGCATTGCAGACGGACTCTACGAGCTAGCATGTAGATACTCGTCTACGTCTTTAAATATATGAGCTTGAGAAAGCGTGGAAGTATAGCTTCTTCTTTATTGGTATATATATTCATACAATGACATATTGAAAAAACAAGAACAAAATGTGTGCAACCCTCGGTCGGGAAATGAACAGCTTCTGAAGCTGTCAGCTCGTTAAACTGTTTGCCCGCGACAGCTTTGGTTGGCAGCGCCTTGCAGCAGCTGGTCATGCCCCAAATTGCACTCGGCAGAGAGACAAGCAGTGGATGGGCATGCGGCGCCTGGTGGTGTCCATGGGTCCTGGGGGCCGAACGACTTTGAAGCGTAATTCGATTATGCAGGCACCAGGCCCGGTCCGCAGGGCAGGTGCAGGCAGGGCGGGACAGAGACGAGAGCGATGGCTAACAAGGATACAGTGCCGGCAGCTTATGATGCATATCTAAGTAGTGCGAGCCTAAACAGATTACAGATATATTTTGATTGCTGATGCGCAGGACTTGAGGGCATCAACAACAACATGCCCCGGCGCCATTGTGCCTGTGTATTAAATCCCTCCAGGGTATACTAATAAATTCAATTTGGTTGTATTTCAGTTTTAGGCCTGGGTAATTGCCTTAAAGCTGGCCAAGAAATGGATTTCATCTCAGCCACTTTGGGCCTGCAAATGGCAATTAGTGCCAATTAAGCTGCAGGACTTTGAGAAGTGCTCGGAACTTCTTGGCACAAGATTAGTTTGCACCGCAAAGCTGCATCAGGTTGTTGTAGCTGCTGCCTGGTTGCAATTGATGCATTCCAGATCAACGCGCCCTCGATAAAAAGGCAATTTCTTAGCTTCGCTTTCTTTTTTCTTTTATTTACAACATTAATTGTGAAATGTTTAGAGCAACGAGAAAGTTCCGTTCATTCGAGGCACGGCGATGATGCAAGAAAAACAACACCTAGAGCAAAGGAAAGCCAAACATATCCAAAGAAATATCTATTTTTAGCAAGAAAAAATAAAGAAAACCTACATGATTAAACAACAGACACACTCAAAACACTCGCAACCAACCACATGAAAGCACACACACTCACACACACACACATCAGATGGTGTGCTTGTGTATTGAGTTCTCAAGTGCTTGGACTACAGTGTGGAAGCTCGATTAGCAAATCAAAAGTGTTGGTCTACCTAGTAAAAGCCCAATATGAAATGAATATTAACTGGAAGAGCAAGAATTTAAATGCTTAGAGTGAAGGCATTAATAATTTAAAGGGATTTTGATTTAATTTTAGGGAATTTTGAATGAAATATTGAGCATGCAATTCAGATTTCCCTCAATATAAATCACGGACAAGTTTGTAGCTAATCTTTTTGAGCACTTTCTTCAATTTCAAGTCGAACCAACAAGCTGTCTTTAGCCGGTTCAAATCGCATTTAAATCTATGCACTTTATGTACGGATTTGCTTTGTCTTCAAATCGAACCAGCAACAATATTTCAGCGGTTCAAATACTATTAAAATCTATGCAATTTATGTCTCCATTTATTTTGATTTCAATTTATGTATGAAGTTGTTGTTCCATATTGAATTATTTTAGTAGAATTAAGAGAGATGCCCAATTATGATTATTATTATTAAATATTATCATTATTATTGTTGATAAACATTCAACTTAGTTTTTATATTTCGCTATTCAATAGTATTTGTAGCCAATTAAGATCTTACAAGAGAGCCTCCTATGACAACAGATATTAATGGCATGTCCATTAATTTTATATGTAGTTTAATGCCTGCTTATTTTTACTGATGTGCATGTTGCATAAGCCGCAATGTTTTTTTTTTAATGTTTTTAGTTATGCATCATCGGTATCCAAATAATGCAGCTGACCAACCCGCCCAACCTGCACATCCCCCCACCCGGCGTATGTGTGATTTTCCACGCGCTGCTGCGGACTGTGACCCAGTTTTGTGGGACAGATGAAAAGCGTGAAACGGTCTAAAAATAATGTTCGAGTGGGGAAATAAAAGAAAAGAGAAGAGACGCGCGTCTAAATCTATGTTTAAAGCCAAAATAAAAAGTGAAATGAAAAATCACCCAGCAAATTATGCTGCATGTTGTTACACATTTTACTTAGTTTTTCACTTGGCCAAATTTGCTATGTCAGCTATTTTTTTTTTTTTTTGGATTCAGTTTTGCTTTCATTCGGTTGGTTTTATTTATAAAACACGGCCATGCGAATATATGAAAATATTTTGATTTTGAATGTTATTTGGTTTCTTTCATTTTTCACATTCTTTGCTCGCTTCTCTATTTGTTTATTTGCAGTTAATGCGAATTATGCACTCGCAAGTGCAATCATCACAACAACAGCAGCAACAAGAGCACCAAATGCATTGTGCACCCACTTCTTAAGTATACGAAACACCACCATAACAACAACAACAACAACAACAACAACCACAAGAAGCACCACAGTCATAAGCCACATTCAGTCGCAAGTCCTGGCAAAATGGTGGACGACATTTCGCCCATGCATCATCGCATGCAGAAGAAGACGCGCAGCGCCTCGATCTGTGCCACGGGGGGCAGCATCGAGACGGTCATCCAGAATATGCCCTCGGGCAGTGCCACGCCCGAGGGCGGCACGCCCGGCTACAGACGCCGCCGGCCCGCCACTCGCTCCCAAAGCGCACGCATCACCTCGGGCGCCAGATCGGTGAGTAAACTATTTCAATTTGTCGGCCGGGCGCCCATTAATTAACTAGCTATTTAGTTTGCTTAGCTAATTGATTGCTTCTTTCATTCACTTGTAGTTGAGCACATTTAGTAGAGCTTTGCGATGTGCCCGTGAGTTAGCGATCGACGTGTCACGACTTTTAATGGCATGCAACAGAAAACTTTAAAAAATTATGAAAATAAAAAGGAAGAGTGCTCTAGTCGGGAGATTCCGATGCCCTGAACCCAACCTTGAGGTTGCTGCACAAGCATTTTTAACTCTTGGGTAACTGAATAACTTTGGTGATTATTCTCTGATCTATATGAAATCAAATGAAAGGACATCAGTTTCCCATCCAAGGCCCAAAACTGTGTGTTTTCTAAAGTTTTTGAGAAGTATCTCCCATTCCGAAAGTGGAATATTCTGAATCTGTTTATACTATATGTCTTTATACTTTAATGCTCGCAGGCAAGCTCAAAACAGGTCATCGATAACAAAGATCGATTTACAAAGATTTACTGCCAACGGAATGCGATATCGATATTTAAAGAAACTTGATCTTTTCGTGTACTAGGAAAATACACCTTTCAAAAGTGATTAATTGATTGATACCAGATTGACGCGTGTACGGGCAGATGTATATACAGAGAGATATATGACTCTAGCTATTCATGCCTCGATACCGATTCTTATCGATTGCTCGATTGCTGGCACTACGAAGTCATATATTTCAAGTCTCTAACTTACATTAGCTCTGAGACCGACGCATTCTTACTAAAGGGCAGAAGAAGGGACGGACGGCAGGACGGACAAACGGAGCGATTCAGCAATTGATGCTGACCAAGAATATTTATACCTTATGGAAAGATGCTTACTTCTGCATACAACAATACCCTACTTTTAGCTCACTTTCATTGTTAAAAGTGTGCAAAATATGTTTTTTTCTATGAATCCTGATACAATGCTTATGTGAAAGTTATGATATAATACGCGGACAATCTGAACATATAGCTGCTTGGCACGCGATCATCTCTAGCCTGTGCTGTCTGCCATTCGCTGTTGTTTTCCAAATTGCTTTATAAACAACTGCACAGCACGGGTTTAAGTGAAATTTGATATACTCGCAGCTTAACAGCTGCTACTCCCTCAAGGCGCACCGCACCACCCACCCTCGATGGCACTTGAGCTGCTGCTGCCAGTTCACTGGACCCATTCGTGAAGCTTGCTGCAAATCGGATTTGGCTGGTTGGGGGCTCAAATGGTGCAGTCGGCCACGCCCCCTCTGGCTCGATATTGCGTGCCGGAAAGCGGGAAAGTTCATTGTTGTATTTACATGCAAATTGGTTATTGCGCTGTATTTTACTTTGAGCATGCCATGGGGGTGCATATTTATTGGGGGTCGGTAATTTACAGTTTGTAATTTGTAGTTTGCAGATTTATTAAATTCCATTTTGGGCGGGGGCCGAGCACGATATCAACTTATTGGATTTACTGGTAACTGACGAAAAGCTAGGTATGCTAGGGAAGCGGGGGATGCGGTAGAATTGAGGCAGGTGGTGTGAATGTCTGTGGATGAAATGTGGGCGGCATCAGGGAGGGGCTCAAAGCGTATATCATTTGCTGGACGAGATTGCGCTCGTGCCCCAAATTCCGGACCGAGTGGCCTTCGCGCAACTGTGCGAGCCGAGTGGTCAGCTGATTCATGCGCAACTCATGCTCCAGATCAACGCTATTGAGCAAGGACTGATGGACAGCTTGAATGGATTCTTCAGTTTTTCTCGTCATCTTAGACAGACGCTGTCGGCAGCGACTCAGCAGGGCGTGACGTTGAGCATCTTGGATTTCCAACGACTTTTGCTGGGGCTTGACGTGCTCGGGACAGGGCTGTGAGGGACGCAGGCAGTGACAGTAGCTGAGATTATACACCAGATACTCCTCGAACTCCTCGCACGGTTTCAGCATCTTCTGGTAGTTCTCCAGCGATTGCAAGTCGCTCGGATCCAAATGGCGTGCACCACAATCCAGCTTCAGGTAATGACTATAGAAATAGTTGAATAGCTCTTCCGCCAGATCCACAAAAAACTTGATGGGCTTGTGAAATGCATCGCCCAGTATGAAGGGCGTCTGCTCGGTTAGATCCAGTTTGTTGAACTCGCGGCGAAAGGACAACAGGTTAGCGCGTATGCCGCTAATGCCACGATTCATCGCCAGATTGGAGCCCAATATGATCTGATAGTGCAATTGATACTTGTTAATAATCACATCCTCGGCATCCACGCTGCGCGGCAGCGGCCTCCGGCAGGTGACATCCGATTGTATGGAAAAGTCGCGCGTCAATGGCCACAGCTTCTCGGCGGCCATGCGCTGCAGTCCCAGCTCCTTGAGCCACTCATTGAAGTAGCTCCTGTACGCCTCGTCCAGTATCAGCAGCTCGGTCAGCACCTTTACCTCAATGCCATCGTGCGCCCGCTGGATCACGCTGATCACCGGGCCCAGCGGAACCTTTGGCCAAATCGTGTAGTCACTGCATTGCATTAAACCCGTTGGTAGCCGGGGGTCCCCAATGTGATGGTCAGAGTTGTGTAGAAATTTCATAATGTTTAATAAAATATATATATCCAGTTTCGAACTCTCCCCCTCTCACTCTTTCTCAATTGATATTATGAAACTCGTGTACTGGAGCACAACTGATATATACTCATAAGTTTACTTGACTGGCAAATAATCGAAAAGTAGCTTAACAACAGCAACAGAGCATAGCTTTACCAGTAGGCCGTTTTTTTTTATTCAATGAGAGAATATACAGAACTATAATCAAATTAATTTCTGTAGCTAGAAATCAAAGTAGAATAACATGTAGGGCTTTTCACAGAGATGCGAAGAATCAAAATATAGTTTGATATTATTATTAATGAAACTGGGGCCAGGCTCAGAACGTAAGAGCAAATATACATACATTTAATTAAAAACGAGCCTTTTCATATTTTATGCATAAGTATAGTTTCTTATGGGACACATGCTTTCACGAAACTTTCCTGCTGGTCAGATGTGCTTTGATATCATATCACAAATGTTTATCGATTTGGCGCCAAATGTTGTTGGCATTGATTGTGAAATCGGAACAGCGCCCAAGGGAGACGTTGCCGGCAGGCAGCAGGACAAGAGGACAACAGTTTGACAGGCGGGCATCCAGTTTCACGTCATAACAAACCCGATACCAGAGCTAACCGAATCGAAGGACAGCGCTGACAATCTGCCAAAGCGTGCCACGTGCCATTTAAGATCTTTGCATATGTCCCCAAATGAGATACTTTTGTGCCATTTAAGCACGCAGCGTCCCACCCCTTCATTATCAGCAACATCTGCATTTTGATTGACTGTGTGTGTGGTGTGTGTGTGTGTGTGTGTGTGTGTGTGTGTGTGTGACTGTGAATTGAATTATGTGCTGGGGGCCAAATTCAATTTTTGCTGCGATGCTGCACAAAAGCAACATCACATGTCACATGCGTCAGAGGACGAGGCATACACTGCGTATGCGTAATGTCTGCCGGATGAGTGCGAAAACTAGAGTCGCGAGTCGTTGTCCTTGCTGCGTGTCCTGCGGGTGATTTTCGCAACAGCTACGCAGCAATGTGCAGCGCGCTTAAAGGTGAAGAATGTCAAATGTTGAATTTACGAGGCATGTGGCAAAAAGTTGCTCAAACTCTGCAACAAGTTTTCTACTGCACACACATGCCACATATGGGCGGCACTGTTGCTGGGCGTGGCTCTTCTCCCGGAACGAAATGAGTTTTGTATTTTATATTTTGTTTGGTTTTTTGCTCTTGTTGCTCGTATAAAACTTTGAGCTCTCACGATTTCATAATAAGTTCACGATAAACGACGCAGACAGCAAAGTTTAATGAGAATGTGGAAAAAGCAGGAGACAGATAAAAGGCGAAGGCCCTGCCAATGCCAGACGCAAAGACGGACTAATGACAAGTTAAAACACGACGCTCTCAGAGATTGGCATATCAGGATAAGCAGAACTACGCCCATACCATGCCAACTGCAACAACAACAACAACAACAAGGACAGCAACAAAAACTCATTTCAACTAAAACAGAAACAACAACAAAAAAAGTCATTTGCATGTAATGCATGTAGCTATTCGCTAATGGATGAACTCTGAGCGGGTTACAGGGAAAATACTCTATTTAAGTAGAGACAATTTTTCATTAAATTTCTATTTTAATGATAAATGTATCATATAATGCATTATTATTTAAAATGCGCTTCTCTCTATTGAAATACGATACTATCGATTGTTCATAAGCACGCGAAAGAAATATCGACTAGCAATTAGTCTGCGTAGCTAGTTTAACTAGCTTAACTAAAAGTAGGCTCTAATTATAGCTCCCTCCACTGTGTGGGAGGCCTAAACCAAGACATTCTGTACTTGGCTGAGAGTCCCCACAGAATGTTGCAAAGTCATCTGAGACAGCATGTTGTTTTTGCAACAGACTCGAAATGGGAAATGGTCTACGATCCGCAGACGTCAGCCCTATATATAACAAATACTATAATTCAGATTTTATTAAGAGCTAGGTGATAGCATTTGTCTTTTATTTGTGATAACTTCATAAAACGGGGAGCTACCATCCAAGGATTTCCAACGGTAACTCGTGCGAATGGGCAAGTGAAACGTTGTGGCTGGAACACTTTTAAAGAAACGCTTGACAACTACGAAACAATGTTTAAACTACAAATATGTATGCTTGCTTAAGTAGGTATTAGGCGAGGTCTGACAAAAAGCAAATTTAGATTTACCCATGGAACATTCCAATCTATTTTCCAAAATTGAAAGTATTGATAAAAACCCGACACTGACAGCGAGCTTACAAGCCGCTTAATAAATAAACACAAATAAAATTTCGCAAAAATTTTTCAGCTTTGGCGTGGAGTTTATGGGAAAGGGTAAAGGACGAATTAATAATTTTTTTTTGACAAGAATTTAAAGTTGAACGGATAAAAAGCTTCCAATTTGTATTTCCTAGTATATTTCGACTGCGGATTCTACAAAATAAGTGAAACATATATTCCTTAATTGTAAATAATAAACGCAAGCGAGAGAGAGTGAGAGAGAGAGAGCCATCGCACTGGAAGTAAACCTTTCTTTAAACATTTTCCAGCCAGGCGAGGGTGACTTTTCCCGAAAATGTAATACACAATACGCACTTGTAAAATAACCTTTAATTTCTTAAGCCTGGTCTATTTAGTCGTTTTATAAAAGGGATATTATTGTAGCCTTGCAGCATACCCAATCATATTTATATAGACTCTATGCACGACATATTGTAAGCTCGTGTTGTTTATATGCTGGACAAATGAAATAAATTCACAGCTGCGCAATGCCCCAAGGACTAATTGGGAATTAAGCAGATACAAATTGAAGACAAGGAGCAAGGACCTGGGCAGCCAGTACGACGACAGTTGGCCCGGATCAAACGCACAAAAGCCGGATGTAATTAATTTTACCCCAGCAAGTGAAGACATGCTGCATCCGGCAGTGACACCAAAGAAGGAACACATATATATATATATATATATATATATACATATACGGTTGACCCCCTGCCGCAATATTTGATTAAATCCGAAAATGAAGAAACACGCAAATATGGCACAAGAGCTGCAATTACGGGTCACGCGAGCTGCCGAGCTGCCGGGCGGACCATGAATTGTGGGCGCCATAAAAAGGCGCTGGGCATTGGCCACTAAATAAACACCACAAAACTTGCCTAATAGCCGCCACCCGTCAGCCCCCATCCCACAACAAAGCTCTCAGTGTGGCCCAAAACCGCAGACACTTGACGGCTGATGCCAGCACGTAAGCAACGCATCCGGCTAGCCCAGTGTGCGAAAGCCACAAAGTGAGCCGGGCTAAGGGTGCGGGCTATTAGCGTACGTTGTAGGTGGTGGAGGCGCTGGAGAGGGATGAGGGTGTGGGTGGTGCACTGCACAGCCGGAAGCTGCTAACAAAGTTCTGAGCCAACATTCACATGTGTCGGTGAAAGTTTTGTGCGGAAAACTAGCTGCAACCAGCAACTGCTTTAGCACTGCCAAATGAGGCTGCCTGTGGGGCAGGTGTGGCACAGCGACAGCGACAGGCACAGAGTGGTGCACGGACAGGTGTTTAAATGAGTTTTCATTGCGTTGTCAACACGCTGCCGGCGCAGGCAGCAATTGCCGTAACGCAGGTATTAGTTAGCCGCAGGACGTGCATTAGAAACAAACGCCATGTTGATTGCCATTTCGAGAGCCACAAAACCACCGAATGGGTGGTGCGCCCTTGACATTTTGCCGTTCTCCTAGCCAGCTCAGCGTTTTTTTTTTTTTGCCCTCAATTCTTGTTTGTCTGTGTTAATCAGTCCGAAATGTCGACTTGATGCTGTGCCAAGTCTTGAAGCAGTCCATAAATTCTAAAGTGATGCAAAGTGCGCCCGGGGGGAGGGGAGGGGGGGGGTCTGTGGCTAGGGTGACAAACAAATGCAATTTGATTTGTGTTCGACATTTTGCAATTTAATTCCTCTTCTGCTGCGTGCTGCAGTGCATAAATCAAAGGCTGATCGCCTCAGAAATAGCCTTAGGTATAACCATGGCCAGGTCCTTTGCTTTGTCCCTCAGCTGCAGCTGATTGATGTTGCAATGGCTGATGGGCTAAAACGAAAGATTAAGTATACGCCACGTTGGCCTTAAGCTCAGCTAGCCTTGCAAAAAAGGTATTATTTGTCACGAAATAGTAGAAGGTATTCATAAACATTTTCTTAAAGCAGATCTGGCGACTTTATGTCCCTTTGTTTTCCCAGAGATTATATAGCTTTTTGGGAAATTAGTGTCAACTACAGACTATATTTAAAAAATATGATGGGGAAGTGAAGTTTGGTCTAGATATCCAATACTAACTTTTCGACTCCGATACAGCTATTGAGCTAGGTACATTGGTTCGGCTGGGAGCAGCTGTTCTTTCTGGTCTCACTTGCTGTTAATCCCCCGATCGATTTGATCTGCCTCTTTACAGGTACGTCGACGCACCCAGGCACAGCAGCAGCAGCAGCAACAAACCACGCTGCAGGAGACGCGCCCCTATTGCACCAGCGAGCCTCGTCTCAGCGAAACGGAGACGCCCCCGCAGCGCCGGAAGCTCTCCCAGCGCCGGCCGCAGCCACACGGTGAGTAGAGTCCTTGTAATGGCCGTCGGGGCAATCAAAAAGTGTGCTGCCACACAAATTAGTCAAGTGGCCGCATTTAATGCGGCCTTAATGCAGCTCAAGATACTAGCCAAATTGAGCAGGCGGCCCATAAATCGTTTTACAGCCGGCAGCAACAGCAGGAGCTGGCGACAGACAATGTTCCTAGTTATGAGAGACTATTTATAGCGCTGCGGGAGAAGGGCGCACTGAATCATGAACAAAATTCGAGGCACTTTAAGCGACAAACAGTTCCATTAGCGCCTTATAAACTTGATGTGCACATGCTTATAATAGATTTTTCGTATAAAGTTGATTTAATTAACGCCCTGTCGCCGCATTCAGACTGGACGATCGTTAAACTTAACCATTGACCCACTTTTGGCGCACACCAATCTGAATAAAGCAGCGAATGTACTTATGGTAACGCCCCCATTGCCACTACCCCTCCACTTGACGCCTTTGTATATAAATCTGTGTCAGGCAGCAAACAACAACAAGAAATCGCTTTCAAAGGGTAAAAAGAAAAAACTTGACATTACCGGGCAATGAAAAACAAGAGCAAAGCCTTTCGGGCGGCCGCTGCATAAATACGCTTGTTTATAAATTAGTCAATAGATTATTATGTAGGAAATTGATCTTGGGTGGATACTTATAAGCAAGCTGTCTGGAAAGAGAAACTTACTCAAGGCAATAATATGCCTAACTCCGACAATAGATCTAGTATTATGCATTATTGTATGAGATAACAATAGAGCAATTGTTTGACTCATATAATAACAGCACACATTAATCAGGGAGATGTGATAGACAGACTTAATATGTCATTTTTCTATCTTTTAAGCCATTATAGAACTTATGCATGTTGCCTAAAATAAAATATTAAATAAATCAGTCAGATTTTCGTTCAACTTGATAGAAAGCTTGGCAAAATAATTAAGAACTGGATTTATCCAAAGTTTCTATGCCATCATATGACATAATACTGTAGTCAGATTATAAAGACAGTTCTAGAAAATTCACTTCAAATTGATGTGTTTTCAATACATTCTCGTCTCGTGTAGATACAATGGTATAGAAATATGATGCACTTTTTACGCTTCGTATAATAAATTTCATATAATCTGCAACATCCTACACATTTGTGCACTCTTGCAATCTCAAGTTGAGAAAAGTGCATCGCTTGCTTGTAAAACAAATTGCAATCGTTGATTGTAATGCAATTTATAAAGATAGAAATTAAATTAATATCATGATTTTGCAGGGCATAGAAAATCGAACGCCTTCCTGGACGTGCCCACAATGAACATGCACCATCTGAGAGTGAACGATGACGACGAGGATGTGGATCGCCTGCGCACATTTAGTGCATCCAAAGGAGGTAAGTGACAAAGGCAGCAGTCGATAGATAAAGAGAAATCAGACACGGACACCGTATGGGGCAGCTACACAAAAGGCTTCTTAGCCGCATTTATTAATTCCGAAATGGAAAATCAACAAAAGCGACGCCAGCTCTGCATGCCGGAGCTTAGATTTTACAATGGCAACACACATGCCAGCAACAATTTGGACTCTGGGCAAACCAGGCCATTTGGCATATGTACAATTATTGTGTGTGAAGAAAATGGTGAATTCTCAAAAAGGTTGCCTTAAAAGGCAATCAGTGTCATTTAATGCCACTTAAGATAGGCACAACGCACTCTTTAGTTTTCAACAGATAACATTTCTATATTTGTGTCACGTTATTGATACACATACGCAACGTGGGCCAATCCGACAGAAACCGAGACGGAAACCGAAACCGAAACCTTAACGAGAACTTAGCATGCTTTAGCTGCGCGCTGTGTGTGTGTGTGTGTGTGTGTGTGTGTGTGTGTGTGTGTGTGTGTGTGTGTGTGCGTGTGTCTCAGCCTGCATAAATGCATGTCTCCTTTAAGTACGTGTTTAAGCTCAACTGCCACACACAAGCCCACACACACACACACACACACATCCAAACACTCTTTGCTAGAATTGACACCAAACAGCCATTTGCCATGCCCTAAAAGCGGGTATTTAGACTTAGCCAAGCATCAGACAGCCTTTTTGAATGAAAGTAATATTTTAGACATATATAGTTATTTTTTTGAGCGCTAGCGAAAAACTCCAAGAAATGTCTATATGTCTTTCAATCTAACCAAGATTAAATCGATCAATGCTGCAAATGACTTCCCGTCTGAAGTGCTCCCGGGAATCAATTTTCTGTTGGATATATGAGATCTCTATCAAACGCCTTTTAGACTTCATTCGCGCAATTGACATCAAAATAAACTAAATGCACTTCAAGATTCTGTGCATTGGCTAGAGAACATGCACATTAAAGTGCAAGATTTGATAGGGTATTCAAGCGGCGCTGTTGGACTTCAAGTGAAACTTTGTAACTGGCAGCGACTGTCGCCTTGCGTATCCATATACATATATAGCATATATTATATTTATATATATATCTATATAGTTGAGTTGAGTACGTTAAATTGTCAGTCTTTTGACACTGGTTGGGTAAATGAAGCGCAGACTGGGGACATGTTTCAAATGGCATACGAAACACGCTGCATATTAAAATTCAATGAAGTTGCCAGCGTTTACTCAACTAAATTGCTTTCGAATACAAGAGAGTGTCTACATATGCAAGTAGTCATCCCACCGAGAGTCTGTGCATGTGTGTGTGAATTCCTTGTGGTTGTGCCGGGTGCGTCATGTGCACAAATTTAATTAAACTTAATACGCAGTCGACTCAGGCACGAATCGCCAAACCGTAAAGCAAGCAAAACCCCATCAATTATGTTTACAGTTTGAATTTAAACAACAACCACAGCGAAAATAAAGAACATTTACAGAAAATTTCATTGAAGTGCGTAGGGGGGCCTGGGGTTTGGTGGGCTGTTGGTATGATTAATTGAAGCGCTAGCATGTGTCAGTCGTCAGCGTCAGCCAATGAAGCGCCACCCAGTGAAAAATTCAATGAAAAGCTGTCCAAAAGCGGCCACAATGCGTTGCCTGTTATGCGTGCACGTGTGTGTGTGTATGTGTACGAGTGTGTGTGTGTGTGTGTGTAGCTCTTCTGCTGTGCTTAAGATTGAAATGGTGTGCGAGCTGGGAGCCTGGCTGCAGAACTGCGCCTGGTTATGATGACGCTCGCTGTGTAAATTCAATTATAATTGAATCACGTCCACGCACGCCCCGCTCAAGGATGTCTCTGGACATTGGGCGTTCGGTGACGTGGGCATGGTCGTGTGTATGACCGAATCGGCACATACGAGTTAGATGAGGCGCGGTTCATCCAGCTGGCATAGCTTAATTGGCTTCATCTGAGCTAAATAAATTATATACAAGCGAATAAAAAGTGAAACGTTCGTTCATGCTCGACTGTGAGATATCCATTAAACAAATATTGTTTATATAATTGCATATGTGAGCAGTAATAACAGAGGGGATATCTTTACGTCTTTAAGACCGAGTCGTCTGTCGATGAGCTTTAAGATTCTATATGTACATATAGACCCGGCAGACTGCAGCCCTGTCGAATCAGGGAGATTTTGTTCGTTTGCCACATCCTTGAATTTTCACAAAATATCAATATTTATATATATACCAATTTGATCTCCAACCACCTTGAAAGCGTCCAATACCCAGCTGAAAATAATTTAGCAAAAGGCAAACATGTGCAAAATCTCGTGCAACACTCGCCGAACTTTAAATCAATCGGCAAATAAAAATTGATATTTATTTTCTCAAGCAGTTATTCATTATCAAAAAATGTTCAAACAATGCGTGAAGGCAACTTCGAAAGGCGAAAATAGCTAAAATAATAATTTAAAGACACATCAAAAAGAGCAAAGAGCAAAATGAGTTAAACAAAAGCTGCGTCGATTGAGATAAATTCCACGAAACATAAGAAAAGGAAAATACTCAAAAATGAATGAAAATTAATTTGAAAAGTGAAAACTCTTCAAAGTTTTTCCACTGTTTAGATTCTGCTGGCATATTAGTTATGCCAAAGAGTTCAATTATTTTTGATTACATTTCAGAGTTCATCTAGCTAAATGTTAAAGGCATAAACTTGGGCAATTTCTATAGCTAAACACTTGATCATTTGACTCAGCTAAATTTAAACATTCGGCATTTGTACAAATATTTATTGTAACAAAACGAAACAGAACACAAAGAAAAACGATTGTTTAAAAGCTAAATTTTATGGTCAGCCGTTTTCACCTTTTCTTTTTCTTATACTTTTCTTTTTTTTTTTTTGGGTTGGCTCGGCTCGCATTCACAATATTAACAACGAAAATTCAAATGAAATTTTGCAAAATCGCAATTGTAATTTTTGCTATACTATAAATTGCCACCCAGCCGGGCGATTTTATGGCTTTCCAATGATGATGGCCGCACACCTACGCCCCTTCCCACCCTACCCCACCACCCTGGGGGTCCTGCTCGGGCACATGCAAATACACATATTTATGCATTTGTAGATTTTTATTGCCATTTTGGCAATTAATTCAATTTACACAATTAATGACCGCAGCGTTTGCTTGAGAAAAATCTCTTGGCTAAATTCAGAAATAACTGAATGCAATAAAGCAGGCCATAAATCTATTTATGACATTTAAATGTACACAAAACAATCGCATAAACCGGCACAAGTCGAATGCAAACAATATTGTTGCGGATTTTTTTTAGTTATTTTTCTTAAACCGTTGGCTCAATTTGACGACATTGAATGAATACATTCATGAAGACTTTTCAATTTTCAACTGCTTAAATGAGTACATTTCATATGCATTCTGTCAATTGATATATTCAAATCAAAATAGATATAGAAATGCAATCCGCAATTTGTTTTGACTAAAACAAAACAGGCAACAATTAAGCTGTCTATAAAATGCTCAACTAACTATTTTGTGATGTTTGCCAAACAAAATTATTTGTAAATGCATATCGTGTACTCACAGCAGTTGGTAAACAAAGGCATAATCTTCACAACTTGCAGCTGATCCTTGTGTTAAATACACTGTAAAATATGTTTGCATATGTGTCGCTATGTACACAGTGTTGCAAATCTTTGGAGACCTTACTTTATCGTCAAATGGCGCTATCGAATATTTCGATAACTGGTACATAACACAATCGATAACATCCTAGGTGCTCTTAATATTGGTAAGGATCGTTGTAAATACTAAAGTGCTGGGCTGTATTTATATATATAGAAACAGGCGAGTTATAGCAATATTGTTCAGAAAACAAGAACGATGCAAAAAGTTATGTTATCGAAGCTCTTAGTAGTAATAGATTCTAGTAAAAGCCAACGCTGCGAGGAAAATTTCGATGCCAGAGACAACTTTAAACATTTGTTTAGGATCGCTTTATACATTTACTAATGTACTTTAGCCCAATCGGGCAGACACAAATAAAATATTTACATAGGTCCGACATATAGGCAAACAATCTGCACTGGCCACCACAAAATATAAACAGAAATTTGGCATTTCAAATGGCTGCCTCAATGTGACTGGCTAAAATTTATAGATAAGCGTAAATGCACATTGCAGCTAATGAATTTTTAAATTTAAAGCCTCTATTCAATCTTACTGTCCGCCTGCTGCACAGCTGCACGAAAACCATTTCAAATAAACCACGAAGAGTGAAATAACAAAAACTAAATAAATTGAAGGGCTGCAGCAGCATTTGAAAAGGCGCAACAACTGGCAACATGTTCGCCATATTACGGCCGCAGACAACACGAAGTGCGGTTGGAGGAAAGGAGAGGAGAAGAGAGGAGGGGAGGGCTGTAGCTCACACAATAGATAGATTAAGCATTGTTGTTGTTGTTTTAGTTTGTTTGTGTAGTCAGAGTCTGCTGCCTCCGGCAGGCAAACGTAATTTTAGCCAGGCTCAACGCGGCGTATGAGTAACACATGCCGTCTCGTTGCGCATACGCCGCATAGGCCCGAGCCATGCGTTGCAGTTAGAACATTTTTGCGTGGTTCTTTTTTTTTTTTGACATGCAACTCATGGCTTGCACCACATTCATGCAGGCATCATCAATCGCGGCGACTCCTTCCGCAGACGTCGCTCGCGCAGCAACAGCCTCGCGCCGGTTAGTCCCATGCATCCGCGTAATGCGATGGCCGGTCTTAACGGTGCCGGCGGCGGCGGCAGCAGTCTGGGGCTGGGCAACAATTACAATGGCGGCAGCAGCAATGGCTTCGCAGCCAGCTCCGGCCAGGATAATCATCAGCCGGTGGAATTCTATCGTGTCGAGATGCTCGGCTCGCCCGGTGTCGGCAAACAGGCGCTCGTTTCCCAATTTCGCACCTCCGACTGCATCAATGCCTACGATGGACCAGGTAAGTGCAGCAGCTGTCGGATGATACATTTACAAAAAAAAAAAAAAAAAACTAATACCCTGCCCCTTGATCTGGGTTTTTGCAGAGTGCGATGAGGACGAGCAAAACATTTCAATTATTCTGAATGGCACCGAGTCGGAGCTGAAGTTCCTCACTGGCAATCCGGAAAGCAAGGTAAGTCAAGCGCAAATGCCCAAACGATCCGTTTGTCAAAGTGTACAACACACTCACACACAAAAACAAATACACACGCACACACACGCACACACACTCACACATATATCTCAACTTTAGTTTGCAGCTGTTGTCCGTTCGGGCGCTTGTCCCTAAAGACCAGCATTGTTGTTGTGTGTGTGCGTGCCATAATTGTTGTTAAATATATCAATATTAACCTAGGGACTGCCTACAACTACATTTACAATTTCTAGCCTTGCAACTGGAAGACAAATTTTGGCGTTTGCACAGAGCCAACCGCTTGAACTTGACCGAAAGCCATTTGTTATTTTGTCTCGGCACAAATTCAATTAATTACAAATGCAAACTAAGCAAATGTGACTTGAATTGTGTCTAAAGTGGGCGGGGCACAACAAATGCCGCCCCTCAAAGTTTAAGCAGCCACTAATTAGACCACAAAAGCGAAATCTCTGAATAACTGGAAATATTAATATAAAACGGCAGAACTGAAACTGGCCAAGAACTTTACCAAAACTGCAAGTTGCATAAAGAGGGCGAGACAAAAAGAGAAAGAGAGGGGAGGGGAGGGGGGGGGGGAGAAGGGCAGAAAGGAAGAAGATTTTTGAGTGCTGTGTCATGCAGCATGCTGCTACGTTGCCGGCATACCCAAGTGCCAGTCGGCAGAAGGAATGTTTTGTACCTTCAAAAACAGAGCAAAAGGTGGTTGAGTTCTTTATGCTGAGCCTCGGCATGCCGTGTAGCTACTCGAGAAAAAGGCTAAGCTAGTCAGGTACTTGAGAAATGAAGACTGAAACAACATAAAAGTACAGGATGAACACTAAGATCGACTATGATGTACACTAACCAAAATTAAACAGGCAATGAAATGGGATAAACATAGCAATATGACGGCTAGAAGTAAATATAAATAAGACATGTTCTAAGAAGTAGCCGCATTTGCAGAATAGACAGTCTATTGTACTCTATAAACTGCTAGAAGGAATCACGTTAAGAAGAAGGAAGGAGAAGGAATCACCGACAGATCAAGTGATCTTGCTATGCGATTAGTTTGTTTTCTGATAATAAAAAAATTCTTAGAAATATCCACGAGTTTCTGGCTGACTTTATACTGTATGTGTAACAATGGAGAAGAGCATTTTACCTAAAATCGATAGTGAAAGTTTTACTAAGGCACGCCGAAGATTTGATACCCTTGTATGCATTACCCTTACAATTTTGCAGATATGTCAGAATAGTAAAGCTCGTAAATGCTAAGTTTGTTGTCAATCGAAATTTCTAAGATTCTAAGATTTGCCTATTGTGTAATTAGTATAGAACAAGATATCTTGATAAACAATAAAGTTTTACATATAAGCACTTACCCTATGACTGATCATTCCTATGTCAGCTTTATGATATAGTGCTCCAATCTGGACGGTTATTCCATAGGTTCTGCCTGCAACAGAAAGACGGATAGTTTTGAAAGTGTGAGAAACGTTTGCATTGAAAAAGACAAACGAATATGGAATTATATATATACTTAACGGAACATTACACATTTCGTGAATAAATAATAATGCAAGCAAATAAAAAATGTAAGCATATATATATTTCTAAGATTTTTCTATTCACAAAACAAATCGCAACTGAGTGTAAGAAAAGAAAGTTCAAAAGGTAATTTAAATTGACCATGGAGATCCTTCGAGAATTGAATTAAGCAGATCATTTAAAAAATGCTATGCCTGAGCTAAATGACAGATAGCAATGTGCTCTTATGAAATACACCGAAGAGATTCTTCAAGCCTATGCGGACCGGTCCAATTATTTCAGCGGGGGTCCTACAGGGGTATGGCAAAATGGCAAGAATAACAAATACTGAACAATTTTTGCAATAACAAGCAAAACAACAAGAACAACAACAATACGCAGAGCGGCGATAAACATGCAATCGAAATGCCAAATTGCTGGCCAAATGCCAAATGACCAGCAAGACGCCCAACGGCCAAACCGACGACGTACGTACTGCTGGCCCGGAACGGGGCAGGGCGGGACGGTGAAATGGGCGTGCGAATGGATCCTAAAGCGTATGTATATATATATATATATACATCTATACGTTTGGTTCGGTTGAGGGGAACGCGCTTTGGCGCAAGCAATAATGGACGATGATTAAGGCGACGATTGCGGGCCAACAGACAGACAGAGGGGAGGTCGCAAGCGTGCGGGTGGCGGCGTTAGGTGTTGGGGCAGCTTGCAGCGTTGTCAAACAAAAGGATATGGCAACAATTTATACATTCTGGACACAGAGCAAGCACAAAGCCAAGCGCATTAAAGCGTTGCGCGTTCACGCAAAAGTTGAAAGTTGAAAGAACAAATAATAAACAGCAAAAATGTTGCCTCAACTCGAGTCCAAATGCACACAAGCATGGCCGTCAATCATAAATACCTTGACACACTCAGACACACGCCCAGACACACGCGAAGAACGTGGTGTATGCATTTGGCAATCGTAAATTCCTGCCAAAATGCCGGATGTGCCTGGCGTTGCTTGATGGCTATGTTTTAGCCACACAAGTAACTGAAAGAATAAAAGTAGCCAACACTGTAAAATTCAGCGTCACTTCCGCCACACCCACTGGCAACGCCTGTCTGGAAGCCCCCAAAAAAATAAAAACAATATACAAGCAGTTTGCTGCTGTTGCAGAAATGGCCATGACGATATAAGCTCGTAAGTTACTTAGGATATATGGTCTTTCGAAAAAGCTATCGGTTTAGTAAAGAGCTAAAAATGAATTAAATCAGAAAGATTTAAATGCTCAACGTATTGACATGTAAGTTCGGGTTTATGACGATATCGATAAATATCGAATCAGTTGAGAATTATTCATGTCACACTAAGTTATCTTGTAGGAAACCAGATATAGTAACGATTAATAAGCTCTACAGGGACTTCTGTAACGCCAGCAACAGATAATTTAGCGAATTGTTGACAAGTACTTTGTTTAAAAGATGATCGATAAGCTATCGAAGATATCGATAAGCGAGCAAATATAATAAATCGATACATTTATCAATACATCTTCTATTTCTATATAGTTTCCTTGCAGGGACATTAATAAGTCGATAAACTTTCGATTATTTTGGAAGCAGTTTTTGGAAAATCCTAGGCAAAATCGCAAGTTGGGTATGCCCATATACAATAGATTCCTTAAGCAAACCTCGACTAGCTTCTGATTTCTTGAATTTTGGCTGATTTTACGTGAAATAAGGAGTCGCTGCTTATGCAACTTGTCAGTTATGCAAAACAGCTGTTAATTTAGAGGCTTTAAAAAGGCACCTATTAGAAATTCAGAGTATCATTAAAAGTCGCGCTGCAATTTCAAGGAAACTTTTGACATTTTTTGCCTGGCCCAGATGCAGAGACAGTAGACAGGATGCAGGAACAAGTTGAGCTACAGCCAACTCTCAACTTTGTGGCTCGTTATGAGGCAAAGTGGCCATAATTTTAATTTTTACGAGCATAAAGAAACGGAAAGCAACAAACACGAACGTACAGGCAGCAAGTCCTGCAGCAGGACACGGCAATGAGCTGACGCTTTATGGCGTTGCATGCGGCGTGGCACTCGTAGTTGTTGGGCATTACCAACTTTTAATGTTGACTTAAATTAACACACATATACACACACATACACACACACGTCTAAGGTATTTAAGAGTTTTGAGTTTAATTTGTAAAACTTGTTGAATCATTTTAACAGGAGGAACTGGAGCAGGCGGATGCATTTCTGGTCGTCTATTCCTGCATTGACAAGGAGTCCTTTACGCGTGCCAAACAGATCTTATCGCGTTTGCAGGACATGGACTTGCTGCGCCATCGACCCACCATTTTGGTGGCAAACAAAATTGATTTGGCCAGATCACGCGCCGTCTCAGCGCAGGGCAAGTGCAGCCAGTGCGTGACTCTTGGCAATTTTCTAATTTAACAACCCCCCCCCCCCCTTCCCCTCTCTCTCTCTCTCTCTCTCTCTCTTTCACGCTCTTGACTCTTGCAGATGGTAAATGCGTGGCCTGCACCTTTGGCGCCAAGTTCATTGAGGTATCGGTGGGCATTAACCACAACTGTGATGAGCTGCTCGCCGGCACTTTGACCCAGATACGCCTGAAGAAGGATCACAATCTATTGCAGGTGAGTGTAAATGGATTCCCAACGGAATCGACTCAATTGAGTGTCTTAGACTTTGGATGGTAGACTAGGCGTAACCAGCTCCAGTTTCAGTACAGTAGATGTTGTTCAACATCTTTAGACATCATCTATCGCCTTTGCCTTCAACACCTGAGCGCTTTTCACATTTGTAATTCACTCTATCTATCTCTCTCTCTCTCTCTCTATCATTTATCTATGTACATTTTATGTGTGTGTAATTGTAACGTTCGCTTTCGCAGCTGAATCCGAAAAAGTCGAAAGACAAAACTAAGTTTAAAGATAGCAAAGACAAGCACTTAGAGACTGTAGAAACTGATAAATGTCTGACATTGACTGATCTTAAGGCCGACGATGCGGTAAGTAACGCAGCCAACCAACTACGTACAGTTCTTTGTGTACCTCCTTCCCCCCGAAAAACTAGTCCCCCAGTTGTTACCCCGCGTATCTTAAATGTTATCCAAATTGCATGCAAAACCTAACTGTCTACAGCTTTGCGAGTTTCTAGGTAATCTGAGCACTTCCAGAAAAAGCGAAAATCGTTTTTATTATCTAAATAGATTCCTAATTCTTTGATTAGACGTCTGCAATCCTTGGCGTGAAGCTTCAAACTAATGAGTATTAATAGTCGAGTGGTTTTACATATATATATATATATTACGCAATCAAAGAGTTGACAGACAGTCCATATTGATTGGGCAGAAATATATAATATATATATTGTATAAAAAAAAAATACTCGAGATGACGAAGCTAAATGCAAGTTTGCAAACATGACGGCAAAACCTTATTAAATGGGATTACTATCATGTCCATATATGGTTTCTATAGGAACAATCGAAAAAATAACAAAACAACAAGAGGAATCTGACATGTGTCTAACACACCTTCAACTGTATAACCTTTAGGCCAAAATCAAACTTTCGACAGCTAAATAAACGCCAAATTAGGCAATTAAATAAATTTAAATATATCTTTGTTTTTCGACATGTTGAAGGCACTGGAACTGCTCATATAGTGTAATTTGCCAGCATTATTTATATTTTCTTTGATCTCCTGCCCCCAGCGAAGCAGCAATACATATTCCAAATAGTTTATATCCATAGTTTGTTGGTTTGCCAAAACGGAAATGTGTCGTGTGTGCAAAATGTTCAGAGTTTATCTCATGCATATCTTTGTTTGTTCCGTTCTTGTTTTGTTATTGCTTGTGCATTATTTGTTGCTGTTTTCACATATTTCAAAACTAACCAAACACAACCACAACAGCCCGGACTTTCGAGTGCAACCAAGTCGTTTAACGAGCCAGAATAAACTTCTATGAAACTTAACATGCTAACATTGTCAATTGTTGTGCCTGATAAAGACAAACTCTTCTGAAATGCGTAAATGCCATCGTTTGCAGGGTCCCCGGGATGGCAGCTCGCCGGCGCATTGGTATAAGAGCCGCAGCGTAATGCTGGCCAGCATGAAGGCGCGACAGATGCTCACCTGGATACTGGGCAAGGAGGACTCCAAGTTCAAGCATTGCGAGAATCTGCAGGTGCTCTAAACACAATATCATATATCTAACTGCATCGGCTCAACAATAAAAAAAAAAAAGTAAAACACCAAATAAATAATGCTTCAAGTTATGCGAGTATGTGAAATGTAAAATTTAAGTGTATATGTAATATGTAACTCTATGATAAAAAACAAAAAAGAAGAATAATAATATGTGAATATTTATAAAACCAACAAAAGAACCAGCTAAACATAACCTTAAAATGTAAACAGGTTTCGATATTTCGATGACCACCAAACCCACACACACACACACACACACACACACACACACTGACACATACACAGCAATGTCCTTTAACTGTAAACAACAAGAAGCCTGATAATCAAAAATTAAATTAAATTTAATGTAAAAAAAAAAAAAACAAGTTAAGGAAGCGAGCAACTTTATGGAACCAAGCAAATGCAACAAAAACTATAAACTACATAAATCTAATTTTCTAATTGAGAAAATCAAAACTTTTTCCAAGCTTTGAGCTAAACGTGAACTTTAATATATTTCCCATAAACTATTTAGCAGAGATTAACTAAGTATTTAAAAATATTTGCTAAAGAGTTCTTCTGTTCTTTTTTAGAAGTTTTACATATATGTGTAGTGTAGTAGTACAGTGTAATCTCGTTAATCTCGAAAAAGCTCTATTTCTTTGACTAGAGATTTGCGTACAAAGCAAACACTTTAGAAACTGTCGGAAAACTTGGCATATTTCTTCTACTTCAGATGGCTTTAGATCCATTGAATTTTGTGTGTGTTTAAAATTTGTGTGTCTTCCCTATATTTTGTATATACATATACATATATATATATACATATACATATATATGTAGAATATATAAGAGAGTCCAGTATGGAAATCCATTGCAATGTAAGGAATTTGAGTGTCATCCACAAAGCATAATTCGCAATGTGGACAAAAGCACAAACAATAATATTTGTAAATTAAAAAATATCTTATTAGAATTGTTTATATGTGTGTGTATATAAGATTAATCACAAGTGGATATTTTCAAAAAAAATAAATAAATAAATATATATATATAAAAATAGAATTCCCCAAAAGTTCTACCATGTACTATGTATAAAAGCTCTAATAAAATATGTATTTAAATGTTAAATAATCAAATTTAACGTTGTTTCTTTTGTAATTTTAATTTAAAACCTAAATCTTTTGGTACAAAACGTTATGATAATGTCAGAAACTGATGCAGCTGATGAGTTGAGTATACGAAACTAGACTTATTATTATGGGGCCAAATTTTAGCCAAACTGTTGAGGATTCTTCACCCGCCTGGCAACCTCACCGCGATAACGAAACAGTGGCCGAAATACATTTATCTCGGCCAGTTCCATATCATCGGCATTCTCGTACTCATTGGACAGATCGTCCACGGCACGGCGCAGCCTGACCAATGTGCGCTCCATTTTGTAGAGATGCTCAAGTTTCTGGTCGGTATTTAAATACACAACATCTGTTACTGCACTCAGTCTTTGGCTAGGCTCAACGGAACTGTGGCGCTCCTGGGGATAGGCACAAGCCACTTCCAGAGTAACGAGGCACGCGACCAGTTGCCAAATATGCTATTGATAGAGCAAGAGATCTATTAGAGCCTATTCAGCTGCATATTTAGCCGGCTTACTCACCTTGTAAGACATCATTTTGTTTGGCTTTAGATCTGTTTAAGTGTTAAATGCACTACAATAGAGTTTCTTTATGTTGTATAGCTGTTAGCTGATTGACGGCGGAATTGTAAGTGTAACTAATTGGTGGCCGAGCATTGCTTTTTATACAATTGAGAAATGGCTGCAGTTTGCTCTAATTAGCACCTTGAATTGTTCTAATTGCACACCTTGTTTTTCACATGTTAAGCCGATTGTAATATTTCCAGGAAATTAGCATGTCGCTATTGTGTTGTAATGTCAAAAAATCAGAGCATTCAACGGCCCTAGACTGATGTCGAGACTAGGAAAGCCGAGTCATGTGAACTGCTTTTGTACTTTACAAATTCGAAATATTGTCACAGCAAACACAACTGACTAATAGTCAGCACTTAATTATTTTTTATCCGGTCGCGTGTCTGTCTCGTAATTAGCGCATGATCTCAACAGGTTGTGTACAATAATATAGCCCCAAGCTGTCAAAATAAACAAGGTTGTCAACACGTGCACCGTTCGCAATATCTAAGCAATGCAATGGATAATTCGTATTTTTAGTCAATTATTCATTTGAATTTGAATTTTGAACGCGAGCGGGCAATATAAAAATGGTTTGCGTCCCTGGTAAATTACAGTCCCTTACCGGTTAAGAAGTTAACAGCAGGCCTTGCTTTCCCGCTTAACATTCTGTTATCAGCGTATAGTCGATATACCGGAAAAACAGACCGCGCACATGAAATGAAAATTTACTTGCGTTGCCTTAGTCCAAAGAGAAGAAAATAACTTTCAACAATGAAGAAAAATGCACTGAAATACAAAGCGAGCAAATGAGAAATAACCGAAGCCCATTACGCATTGTACCTATGCAAATGTTAAATAGAAGAACAAAGCAAAAGCAACTAAGATAATGGAAACTAACAATAAGTAGAATTTAGCTATAAGACTTAATTGGATAAGGAAAACTTTAAGAATCGTTATTGCATCAATAAATACCTATATATATTTGTAAGCGAATGCAGAAACAACGGTAAATGGCTTCTACTTACAGATGCTGGCGAATGCGGTCTCCCTTCGGTACGCTTGGTTTAGCTCGTAACTAGCTGCTATGGCTATCACTTGACACATCTTAAACACACACATATTCCATATTACAATTAGTACACTTTTTACGGCAACGTTTTTAAAATTTAATACAATTTTATGGTTTTTACGCGAACACATTGCTGCTCCTCACCGATTAATTGTTTTAACTTCAGATAAAACTATCGATAACTTGCAGCTGCCATTGACAGTGCCATTGTGAGTTTAACAGCATACACAACTGTTACTGCAACTAGCCAGATAAACAACAACAACAGTCGACTTGGCAGTTCGCTTGTTCAGTTTTGTGAGTCGTTCGATTGAACATATTGCGAACGATTCGATATAACTGTAGATGTGTTACGCTCTTTTGTTTATTTGTTTTATGTTCGTTTAACGGTAAAGTAAATAATAATTAAGTAATATTGATTCGAACCGACAGTTTGTCAGCGTTGCGCTGACAGTTCCCCTGTGCAGCAGCGGCAGCAACAGCAACAGCCGCAGTCAAACGTCACGCAAACAACAAACAAAGAGTTGCTAATATCACTGAACAAACAAACTACGTTGCAGTTTCATATTTCACATTTTATTGCCAGCGCAACAAAATTGAATACAATTTGTTTTGTGATACGAATATTGTAGCCGGCGGTGATTCAGTTTGGACACTTGCCTCGCTTCCAGCTCGACTGACAGCATATGTTTGTTTGTCTGTGCCTGTGTATATGTGTGTGTGTGTTCGGTTCGTGCGCGCAAACTTGCGTATGTGTGCAAAAACAAAGTGCGATAAGGGAAAACGAATTCTTCAATCAAAACTTCATAGGAAACTAGCAGATAAAGAGCCTTCACTCTGCAACCGCAAGGGGCCGCCAACCGCGAATAGTTTTTTCTACATTATTAGCTACGCCAGCGTTACAGTGAGCGCTACCTGTTGATGAACACCCTACAAATACCTGCATTTGTGTAAGCCTCTAGATCTGCTTATACCCTTACAAAATCTCGGCCATAAAGTAAACATATGTTCATGATTAGTATTAACAGACGACGAGTCGTTATAGCCAGGTACGTCTGTCTGTCGCTCAGTTTTAAAGCAATCCCAAAGAAGCATGTCGCTGTAGACCAGATCGGATTATCTTCTACAGTCAATGTCGCTTAACTATATCGTATAGCTCCTGCAAATAGATTTATAGTGGCATATACTTTACTTAATGATAACATTTCTGTGTCTCAAGTTATCTCTGAAATTATCATATAGCTGCCATGGAAACGATCTGAGATTGAAAAAAAAAACCCTTTGCAAATCTGTTTTATTTGTAAGAGTATTGAATATTCGGCAACCCAAAGCTAACTGCAACTCTTCATACAGCTCAATATAGAAAGAAGTAGCTACACGATCTGCCCCCTGGACGTGTGCAGCTGCTTTATAGAGAAGCTTGGGCCAGTCGATGAGACCGTCAGCATCGAGAACGCGCAAAATGAGTAACAGCTATAACGATATACCCATCGGGATACGCGTGCTGCAGAGCTTCTCGCGGCAATGTCCGCGATTTCATGCGCGCAAGGAGCTGTGGTAAGAGACAATTAAGCAAATGTCAACGGCTAGTTAAATCTACCTTCGTTTCAGCTACAAGATGTCCATATTTTTGCTCACATTCCTTGCCTATGCCTGCTATCACATGTCCCGCAAGCCGATCTCAGTGGTCAAGTCCGTGCTGCATGGGAATTGCTCGAATACGCAGGCAAGGCTGCACGAGGCTGGCGATTGCGGCTATGCGCCATTTGGTTAGTTTGGGTCTAGCTCTTGTGCATATTCCGTGACTCACTTAACCCACTTTCTTTGAACAGATGGCTCCGACTCGAAGACGCTCTTTGGCATGCTGGACTCGGCCTTTCTGTTCTCGTACGCCATTGCCATGTTCATGTCGGGCTTCATAGCGGAGCGCGTCTCGTTGCGCTATTTTCTGTCCATGGGCATGATTATGACGGGCGTGTTCACCTATCTGTTCGGCCTGGCACGCACCTCCAATATACACAGCCTCAGCTACTTTATATTTGTGCAAATCTTTGCCGGCATATTCCAGACCACAGGCTGGCCGGGCGTTGTCACGCTAGTGGGCCGTTGGTTTGGCAAAGAGAAACGCGGCCTGATATTTGGCATTTGGAATAGCCACACATCCATTGGCAATATTCTGGGCACACTAATTGCGGCGCACTATGTGGAAAAGGATTGGGCCCTGTCCTTTGTTGTGCCTGGCATTATCATTGGAGCTGTCGGCTTTCTGCTCTTTCTGTTTCTGGTTGATCAGCCAGAGATTGTTGGCTGTTATCCACAGCATGTCACACATGAGCGTCGCAATGTGGCCAATGAATCGGATGTGGACCATGACGATGATGACGATGAGGAACAGGCGCGTCACACCGAAGCCGTAAGTATTTAATGTTCTCGCTTTCAGCAATTGTTGCTTGCATTTTTGACTTTTTATTTAAATAAAATACACACTCATCTCAAATAATTTGCCGTATGCCTGCGCAGTTTTATGCCCAGTCCGTTTATGCCGCCCAACAAACCGTAAGTGCATGCATCCCACATTTGTCTTTTCCATGTGTCGTACGCTTCTGTGTTTGTTGCGCCTCTTCAGCTAATTCTTTATAAATCTGTATTATATGTCCGATTCGCTTTGTGCTTCTGCTCATATTGATTACATACATTTTTCCCTGCAGGATCAGGTTAGCTATCGCCCAGCGCCCACCGAACGCACCCCCATCCTGTCACGGCAGCCGTCTAGGGAACGCCCAGCCGGACATGGCCGTCCCATTAGCTTGGTTGATGCGCTCTATATACCCGGCGTGGTTGAGTTCTCGCTCTGCCTGTTCTTCACCAAGCTGGTCAGCTATACGTTCATGTACTGGCTGCCGCTCTATATACAGTCTTCCAGTGAGTCAATTCTTGAAATATGTTTTTTCTGCTTACTTATTTATACATTTGTTTCGTTCAGGCACCTTGGGTCCAGAGCTGTCCGCCGATCTGTCTACGCTGTTCGATGTGGGCGGCATATTGGGTGCCATAGCCGCCGGCTATGTATCTGATCTGACGGGCATGTCGGCCACAGTGTGCACAGTAATGTTGTTCTTTGCGTCGCCCATTGTGAGTTCTATTCAAATTTAATCTGTATGCATATGTACTTAATGTATTGGCTTATTCCAGCTGTTAATGTATCAACAGTATGGCGCATTGTCCGTCACAATTAGCGTGCTTCTGCTCATCATTGTGGGCATCTTTGTGAACGGGCCGTATGCATTAATAACGACCTCAGTCAGCGCTGAACTGGGTCAGCACAGTTCCTTGGAGAGTAATTCGAATGCCCTGGCCACGGTTACAGCTATTATAGATGGCACGGGCTCCATTGGCGCGGCAGTGGGTCCGCTGCTGGCCGGTTTGATCTCCAGCCACAGCTGGCAGAATGTCTTCTATATGCTCATCGTGGCGGACATCATTGCCATGCTGTTGCTCATGCGTCTGGTCGTCAAGGAATGCACCACGTTGCGTCGCTCAACGACCCGCATTCGCATCGAATAGCAGCGGGCGAATTAATTTTATTCAATCGGAATTTAATATAAGCATATGTATATATAGCATTGTATTACATGCGTGCACACACACACATTCGCCCGCATGCATGTGTGCAGACTTATGTGTGCGTGCATGTGCAGCTCGCATTAACTATTTTAATATTACACTATTTCTATATATGTGTGCATGTTTAAGTACTGTGTGCTTGTTTATTCGAGAGCATATCACTTGTTTTTCTGAACCTACATAATTAGTTTTATCTGCGTTCATTTTTTATAGCTATTAATACTGAATGTGTAACGCACTAGACGCCCAAATCTTTACCATATTTATTATGTGCATGTAAACAATGGCGGACGAGCTATACGAGTTAACAGTTTTATCTATATATATATAAATATATTTTATACCGCTGTGTGTGTATGTATATCAGAGTCTCCTCGTTTTAAGTGCCGAAGAAATATACATATATATATATAATATAATAGTTAAGGCATATTTACACTGATATGTAAATACAGTTTTCGTACACTTTTCGTACCAATAAACTAAGACAATGCCGTATACGAGAATTGTCTAAATAAAAACTATCGAACAGACTTATTTAAGCCACTGTAATGTAAGAGAGCTCCTGTAAAGTAATGCTGTTAAGATTAACAGTACAAAAAGGTAAGTATGTAGAGATTTGAATGTGGCATTATAAAGCGAAAGCTGAACACGAAAAGCCTGTAAATTGTGGCTAGAAACCAAATTTAAGTTGACGACTTAAATTTCATTTAACAACACATTAGCTGACGTTTGAGGATAACAGCCTACTAGTAGCTTAAATGAGTAAATGTTAGCTTGGTTATGTTTAAAATTCTATGTATATTATTACTTTTAATCTCAATCTGTTGACTTTTTAGCCTCAGCAGCGAAAAAGAAACCCATCTAAGAGATATTTCACTTTACTACACTTAAAATTAGCCTCTTGATTGCGCTTAAATAAGATATAGTCTAGGTAGACCTTAACTAAAACTAGATTCCACCTATAAATGGCGCTAAAATGGCGACGATCTCAAAGCTTATAACTTATCACAACATTGAAATGAAAAACAAATCATACAACCTTAATATCAGCGTGTTTTACAGACGCTGCACACAGCGACGCACAATCTTGGCCTTATGTTGGCACAGCAGACGGAGTAGAAAGATGATGAGCAGCAGGCTAACGCCATAGCCGACGACGAGAACGGCGCGTTTGCGTCGCCGCCAACGTTGATAGTCGTTCCAGGACACATAGCGATTGCGAAATTGTGGAGGCAGTTCAAATTTGCTGCGTCGCGGAAAGAAAGATAAATAGAAATCCTCGAGCAGATGACGCACTAGCTCGTTATCCTCGCCACGCTTAACATCGAGATTGTCGTTGATGCAATTGAACTTGCGCGGATTGCGACGCATGCGGTCGAGCGCCTCAACGACTTCCGTCAGATTTGAGGTGAGCATCATAAAGTTGCTGTGCGAGGCGCGTTTTGGACTCACATGATAGCGATACCTGGAGCGTACGCCAAAGTTGGCGCTCAAAGCCTCCGCCAGCAGTGGACAGCGGTAGACTAGCTCGCGGGTAATTGTGGGCTGTGCAAAGAGCAAGAGTGAAAATTATAAGTGCGACTGACATAGAGCCTGGATTAGATAATAGCTTACCAAATTGGAGTCCTCGTAGCGCTCATAGACCAGCGTCGAGTGAACTATTTTATTATCTGTTGCAGCATCATGGCCCAGGTTGTGGGTACAGTTCTGGACTACCTCCTCGAAGTAGCGCATGGCTGACCAGTCCAGCGGCGGTGGATAGATGCGCGTCAGGCACGTGCGCACCTCGCGATCCGACCATGTGCCCGAACCGTCCGTATCGAACTCATCAAAGATCTGCTCCACGCCCAGCGACTTTGTCTCGCTCATGAGAAACGAATAGTAGGCGAAGGCGAACTGTAAATCTGTGGCCGCACGGAAACGCTGATGGGCCGTCTGGCGCACTTGCTGCTCGAAGCGCTGCTGCATGGCCTCGACAATGTCGCGTTCTATGAGAAAGCCCACGTGCGCCAGCACATGACGCGCCTTGAAGCCATAGACGCGATTCAGCAGCATATTGGTGGCAATCAGCGAGTGCGAGTAAATGTCTGTGGAGGATTTGAAGTCCTCCTTGTGCAGCAGATTGCTGCGGCTGGTGCTGCTGCTCATCGCGCTGCTGGCGTCCAGCTCGGGATTTAGAGACTTCAGCTTGTCTTTGTTGAAGCGTTCCACAATGCGACGCAGCTCCTGCAGCGTAGACACATTTCTATGCCGCATCAGCTCCTTGAAATTAGTGGAGCTGCGTTTGAAAAGCTGTTGCAGACCCACATTGGGAAACTTATGAACGCCCACATGACCCACAGGCACGGGCACATCGGGCACGCTATGCAGATCCTCTTGCAACTGCCCGGCAATCCCGGTGCCACTGTCGGTGCAGTCGCCACCATCAAATTGGCAGGCATCAATGTTACAGTGGCGATCACAGGCGCCATCGCCTATATACGTCCACGGGCAGTCCAAGGCGCAATCGGGCACCATCCATGCCTGATAAACACGCACGCCTTCCGCCTCCGTATACAAATCCTCCGGATAGAGCGGTGCACCCAGAAAGATGTCATCGTTCAGATACAAAAAACGTTTGGAAAGCTTTGGTATACGATGGAGGAATGTTTCAATGGCTGCACTGGAAAACGTTGGCAGTTGTTCCGGATCCGGTGCGAGCACCTCGTGCGGCACCACAGTCACACGTTCATAGTTGAGATCCAGCCAACTGGGTATCTGGCCGTTGGTCACAATGTAAACGTGCCGTATCCAGCTGGCGTGCTTCTCCAGCGAACGCAACGAGTATTTTAGTTCATTCTTGTCGTCGAAGCGCGACGGATCGTAGCTGGCATCGTAGCGTCTAATGGACTCAATAAAATCCGGATCCGAACCATTTACCCAGGTGTATACGGCATCAATGGGCGCACAATGCGTTTCGCCGTAGTAGCTACTGTAGTGACCATTCGAAGTCGTCAGCAACTGCTGTCCAGCCAGCCAGAATATTACGCATAGTGCTCCAAATACGGCTAAGTAAACCAACTTGCGGCGCGATTGCATTTTAAGGCGATAGATTTTCTCAATTGTACGCCGCATCCGCCGATGCCAGCGGCGTCGCAGACGCATTTCGTACCCCTATATAGCTCTACATCGCCACACTTTTCGTGCACTTTAATTAATAAATTCTGTTTATTTCGCACGTAATTTACCTTAGAGAAGAAAAAAGATTGATTTTAAGTCGGTTTCTAATTAGTGATGGTCGTCTAAGAATGATAAGCTTGTGCATGACATATGCAAGTACATCGATAGTATCGATGGGAACTATCGCAAAGAAATAAATATTGCGGCTTATAAGTACTTTACTATATAGCATATTAACTTTTTAATACGCAGCTTACACTTATTTTGTACATATCTAATTCGTCTTTTATTTTTTTATATTTGCCATAAAGGCATAAGCCTTTTAATTTGCATTGTAAAATCGCGCCAAGCACATATATTACAGGTCAGACCCGTTGTTTCGATAGTTTTCTTAACTTTCAGTGCTGCTTAATGCCGTTTTGCAGTGCGCCCGCGAGCAAACAATTTTACCATCGTTGTGACTGGCATGCCTATCGACTATAATATCGACTTAACACATTCGCTATCGGTCAGCTGGTCGCCCATCACATGACCTGTCATATGAAAACTTTTTCACTCTGACAGCGCAAATCGACATCGGGCCGTGCAAATCGAAAAACTTTTTCACATTTTTCGTTTGTAGTTTTTCTTAATTTTTGGTTGGTTTATTTTAATACTTGTGTTTAATTATGTTCATTTGTTGATTTTACTTTTGTTTCGTTTTAATTTCGTGAATGTAGTACGTCCACGTAGCGAGCCAGGCCACAAAATGTTGTGGAAGTCGCTGATTGCGTTGTGCGTCATTGGAGTCGCCTTGGGCGAGCAGACGCCCGTTTTTCTATGGGGTGCCAACAGGTGGGTGCTTAGTAAGCCGTTCAAATCGTAGCCATATATTACATCTATTACTTGACAGCCCCACGAAGCCATCGCTGCGCACAGTGCCGCAGGCAGAGTTTGGAGAGCAGCTGGCGACATTGCTGAAAGATCACATGGTTGTGGCCTTCGAGGAAAATGGCGTAAGTCCAGTGCAAATAACAGTGTAAAAACTGTGCTTCAGCAAAAGGTCTGTCTATTTTATCTAGCTGAGCAATAGGGATTTCCTGTGCTCCAATGGCGAGGCGCAGTCATGTTACGCTCAGCTACAGAGCGTTAGCCCCAAGACGTACTACACCAGCGTAGAGAATCCCTCCGAGGCACTGCGTGCTGCAGCTGAAAAGCGCGAGCACAACAGCATCGATGCCAATGGTCAGCTGGTGCAGCCCGTCAAGTGTGAGGTGGGCACAGCCCATTTTGTTTCCTTTGAGGATGTGTCCGAGACACGTGCTGCTACGCTCCAGTCACATGGTACGCCCTGACAGCCACTAACTCATGCATATATGTAGGCTAATTGATATTTACCTTATTGAACAGACTCCGCGATTGCCGCTATCAGCAAGCAATTGAACGGCTGCAAGGTGGCTTATCTGTATTTGGCTGCGCCAGCTACGGCACCCACTGTGCAGCGTCGCGTGCGTCGTTGGACCGCAGCAGAGACGAGCGGCTACAGATTCTACAGCGGCAATCAGTTTGCCATCAGCTTTACCGATGTTAAGTACATTAACGAAGGAGCTACTACGACAACCACGCCCTTAAAGGTTAGTGGTATAACCGTAAACAATGTCACCGCCAACATCAAGTTCTCCGTGGCACTGCACACCGATGCCGGGAAGGACATCACCTTTGATGTCAGCTATAGCAGCGTCGATGGTTATTATACAGTAAGCAATGCGGCATATGGCGGCGAGACATTCCGCACGCCTGGTGTCAATGCGCCCACAACGTTCTCCTATGCCTGCGGCAATGCGACCTGGTATACGCCAGCCAAGGAGAATAAGGCCAATGCGC